CCTCCCTTCTCCAGCCGTCGGGGTCGCACTAGCCTGGGGAAGGGCAGTGCCAGGGGCAAGACGGTAGTGCCAGATGCACAAGTGAAATGGAGAGGGGGATGCTTCGGGGAGGAGGAGGCATGGCCGAGGAAAAGGGGGGCGGGAAAGTGGCCCAGGGAGGGCAGAACCAGAGCCTCAGAGGCAATAGAAGGGCGGGCGCCTTGGCACCAGCCCTTAGGTACAGAGAAGCGAACGGCGCCCAGTACCTCGGGCTCGCCCCGTCCCCCATCTCTGGAGGTCGCGTCCGGCGTCTTGCTGGACCCAACCTGGATCTTTCAGCGGCTGCCATGCCATTCCCCACTTGAGTCTCGACAGTCCTGGAACCTCCTGTTAGTTCCTCAGTGACCCCCTCCCGGTTTCTCTTCTTCTGGTCCACGCAGCTCCCTTCCTCGCTCAGAAGTCGGAGGGGGGAACCCCGACTTGAAATTACCGCCTACCCCCCAACTCCCGGCCCTTACCGCGCCAAACCACTGAGACAGCGGCGGCCAAGAAACGCTGACTGGGGGCCCCGCCCCCTCCCACGAAACCCCAGCCGGGCCCCAGGGGCCTGCCGCCACCCCCGCCCCGCCACCAGGCCCTGAGTGGAACTGGGAACTGGAGGGCAGGTGTGAGGCCTGCAGGGGCCTCCAGGGGATAGGGGAGCGTCCCAGATCCGCACGTTCAGACTTAAATCTTCAGCCGACCAGCTAGACCTTAATTTGGGGGAGAAAGTAGCAGGAGGTGGGTAAATACCCGAAGAGTGAGGTGTTTGACCAAAGACAGGGATGAAAGCCCCGGTTGGGTCGTAGGGAGGACTGTATACCTGGGGCTGGGGTGAAGGCCGGGTGCCGGTACTGGCTGGGCCACGTGCGCCAAGGGGCAGCTGCAGAGGAGTTAAGATGCTTGTAGAGCCTGGAGGAGAGAGGGCTCCTGGGGGAAAGAAAGGCAAGGATCTGCTTGGGCGGGGTCCTGAGTGAGTGGGTCTGGGGGCCTGTTTTGGAATGTGGGGGGCTGAGCTGGAAGCGGAGCGTTAGCCTGTGCCAGGCGCCCACCTCTTCCCCGCTCCCCCCCTTCCCCGGGCTGCCTCCGCTTCCCTCGAAAAACCCGCCGCCCAGGAAACCGCTGGGGGCGCTCAGACCGCAGCCCCCCCGCCCGGCGCCCCCCGGCGCCCCCACAGCGACCGCCCAACCCACCTGAAGGGGCCGTGGCTGCCAGGGTTGCCCCCCTCCCGCCGACTCCCCCCACACCTGCGGGCGGCACTATTTATAACTCGGCGCCTATTCCGGGCCTCTGGGCGGGAGCCTGCTGCGGCGCAGCGCTAATCGTCGCCGGGATCTCTGCGCCCCCCAGGGCCGGGGTAGATAAATTTAGCCTCAGGAAGCTCAGGGGAACATTTTCCAAAACTCCACGTCCCAGAGAAGGCGAAACAGAGCCCCTCAGCCCTCAGCTTCCCTGCGGCCAGCCACCAGGCGGCGCAGGTTCCCGGCTCCTCGAACCCAGCTAGGGGTTCGGCTTGCTGCTTTAAAGCTGGAATAGGTAAAGAACTGAGGGTGCACGATGGAAGGGTACTGAGGGGCGGAGGTCAGAGGGGCCAGAGGAAGGCCAGAAGAATGCGTACGGCCCCGAGGCTGGCAAAGACTCTGGAGTAGCGAGTCTCAGCTGGGAGTAACTAAGAAAGGGGGTGAGGACTTCTGCCTTTTGAAGAGGAAATAACTCATATGCAAACGAGATGCAAATAGGAACGCAAATAAGCGGCTTTGCCCTTAGGGGTCTGCGCTCCGGTGCCGGTGAAACGACTGCCACAGCTCCCTTTCCGCCCGCCTCTCAGGGTAGCTGGGAAAACGTGGGACCCTCCGAAGATCATTACTGTAATATCCAGTTTATTGCGCGCGGCTCCTCAGACCACTTCACCATGACCCCTCTCCTCCTGTGCCTTTCGCACACCATTGAGGGTCTTAGATCCTACGAAATCAGCTGGGTCTCCTGGATATCAGGCCGCTCCTCCTCCTCCTGCCGTCGTACTTGGGGGCACTTCCAGCTCCGCCTTTACTCCTTCCCCATTTTACCCCGCCCATTCCCCTACCCCTTGTGGCCACTAGAGGGCCCCGGAGTACCGAGGGGTAGATGAGCTCTTACCCATCTTTGCACTCTGCTCCCCTTTACCGCCCCCCATGCCCCCCCACTCCAGTGAGTTCCTGAGAGAGGAGTCTGGACACTCAAAACCTGAGCTTGCTCTAGTTGGGAAGAGAACATCGCAGGGAAGCTGCCACATCTCTTTTTCCCTTCTAGAGGAGTGGGGTGGTGTAGACCAGGGAACCATCTCCTGGCCTGTTGTGGATGAGGTTAAAAGGACATAGCTGGGGCCCCCAGATGAGCGGGGGGCAAACAAGAACAAGGGGAGCTTAGGGTTGAGGTGGAAGTGAGACAGCATGGAGTGGGTGCAGAATGGGGGTGGTAGTCCCCTCCACACTTCTGCTTGAACTGGCCCTGCAGCCCAGGCCACTTAGGCCACCATCCCAAGCACCAGTTCAGAAGATGAAGGCTGGCTAATTGAGAGAAGCCCTGCATTTGAGATGAGAAAATCTGGGTTCACTAAATGACTGTCCTACTGCAGTGTGCTGTGGTTATGACTTTGGATGGGTCGCTTTGCCTCTCTGGGCCTGTTTCCTTCACCTTAACATGGGATAATTACCGTTGTCCTGCCTACTTTCAAAGTGGATTTTGTAAGGCTCAAAACACTTTGTATTGTGAAAAGTGCTCTCAGAATGGTGTCTGAGGTTTTTGTTACTCTCCCCTTCCCTCTCCTCAGTCTTTCCACTTTCAGGGCTCTCTTTCCAGCTCTGACATTCTCCTTGGGCCACTGACAGCCTCTACTCCTCTCCCTCCTTCAGCTCCCCACCACCTGTCCCACAACAGGTCACAGCCCTGGGCCCTGCCTTCCTCCACCTACCACTTCCGCAGTGGTCTTTGCCAGACATCCCCTCCCCTGGCACAGGCCCTTGTGCTCAGAACTCTCAGACTACAGGATCCATCTCCAGGCACTGCCCCAGCTTGGCAGGAGTGGGGCCTAAGAAAGGAAAAGGAGGCAGAAGGCCAGAGCTTGAGTCAGGGAAGGGCTGGAGCTGGCCAAGCAGGGTATAGGCTGTGAGGGCGAGAGAGGAGCCCCAAATTCAGATGGGAAGGTGAATTCTGTGTCTACCTCCACCACTAACCTCTCTCTGGTTGGATTTAGGATCTTGCTCCTTCTCCCTGCTGTGTCCTGGGGCGAGGGTGGGGTAAGGGTGGGGCAAGGGACCAGGCAAGAGCACTGACTTGCATTTTGTGCCTAAAGATGGGTGCCGAGCTGCCAGGGAGAAGAAATAATCTTGAGTTGGAGCACTATAGAATACTGTACTGCCGTGAAAAAGAATGGGCAGGCTCTAAATGTACTGATGTGGAATCCTGTACAAGGTATATTAAGGGAAAAGAGCAAGGTGCAGAACAGTGTGTAGAGTATGTTATCGACCAGAAGAATAAGTATATGCAAAACCCAGCCACCCCTTACCATTGCTATTGCTGTGAGCCTGCTCTGAGCCACTAACGTGCCTGGCCCGGATTGTGTCCGTTGCCTCCTAACAGGTCTCTCCTATTCTACCCTGGCTCCCCTAAGGTCTATTCTCAACCCAATATAGTGCGCCTTTTAAATAAAAAGTCAGCTCATGCTCAGCACCCTGCAATAGTTCCTCATTTCACTCAGCATAAAAGCTCAAGTTCTTACCATGGCTTACTAGGCTCTCCATGACCTGCCCCCACTCCCATCCCCAGCTTCACTTTTTCTTTTTTCCATTGCACCTATCACCTAATAGCATCTATATACTTATTTTTTTATGTTGATATTTTATTTTCTTTCTCCACCCACCAGAAAGTAAGCTCCACGAGTACAGGGATCTATTTTGTTCGCTGTTGTCTTCAAAGCACCCAGATTGGCATACAGTAGGTGCTCAATAATATTTGTTAAATTAATGAATGAATGAAGATGCAGTATATGCATAGACTATCTCTGGAATGCTCTCCAAGAAATTGGTAACCATAGTTACCTCCAGGGATGAGAGCTGGGGGATTGGGGGAGAGGTGTGGGAGGGAGACTTACTTTTTACTATCAGGAGTATTTAGGCATAGATTACCTTTACAAAGAAAAATAAAAAAAGCCCAGAGAAAAAAGAGTTAACTAAGAAGAAGGCTGAGGAAGAGCTTGTCCCTGGGAGTGGGGAGAGGGCTCCACATACCATCTCCAGGCCAGTGCCCCAGGAGAGAAAGAGGGGGGACAATAACTGGGCCCCAAGAGGGGCAGGCAATGCTGGGTAGAGAACCCGGGGCCACTTTGAACAAGCCCTGTGGCTGGCTCTGAGGTTGTGGGGGGCTGTGAATGGGCACTTCAGTAAGCGTGAGTGAGATGATGTAAATGGCTGATGTGTACCTACCACTGGGAGTAATTCGGGGAAAGCAAGTGTTGGTGGCTGCCAAGGGGAACTGAAGAGTCAATTCTGCTCATTCTGGCTGTTTCTGTCCTGTGTACTCTGATAAGCCTGAGGGACCTGTGTGGCCACACAGGTGCCATCCTCTTGCAGCTTTTGTGTGAGCTGGAGGAGCAGGGCTTTACTTCCTCCTTGAGCTGGGGACTAGCATTAGCCCAGGGCTTCCCTCAAGATACTCAGAGGGAAGGAGCTGGCCAGACCAGGTCTTCTATTTGGGTTCCTATCCTAATGTGCAGGGCCTCACAGAAGAAGACCCCACCCAAGCTGGAACCCTCCCTATCCACAAGGTGGGAGGAACCTGGCCTTTCCAACTCCACCCTCCACACCCAGGCACCAGTGAGTCAAGAAACCTGGCTTTCAGTCTTAGTTCTATCCAGGACAACCTCCTTCCCTCCCTGGTCTACACCCTGGGTCCAAGACCCTTCTAGTGCTTTTTCTTATTCCCATTTAAACATTTAGAACTTTTGGCCTTAAGATCTATTTATTATATATATAGTTCAGTGATTCTCAAATGGAGATATTAGGGAGCAGCCCATTCCTGGCACTAAGAGGGTATGGTAAGATCAACCATCTGGGCTGGTGGGCTCACTGTGCCAGGCTTGGAGGAGTGCTAGATCCTGCTGCAGTCTTATTGGGGTCCTAGCCAGCAGATCAAGCTCTTGCACACCAGAGGGCCGCCAGAGGTGGAGGCTGGGAATGGAGGCCCAGAGACGAAGCTGATCTGACAGATGGCACAAACTCAAAGCAGGATCCACACTTCAGTCCGTGTTTGTGGCCCATCCTTTGTCAAGCACAGCTGGCTGCAGGAGTCTTGGTGGGGTTGGGCTGGGCACTAAAGAAGAGAATGGGAAGCTGAGAGGCAGGTTCTGCCACAGAAGCTGCAGCCGTACCTCCTGTTTGCCCTACCCTGCCCACCTGAGAGAAGACAGCCATGTTGCGGGTGGGGAGGAGGGAGTTCCCTGCCGCCATTAATCCAGCAGCTCCTTGATACACCAGCAGCAGAGGAGGATGTAGGCGACTTCCTTCAGGGTCTGCCGCAGGCCCTCCCACCCTATGTTCATCTTCATGACGGGCACCCGGAGCCCAGTGTCTCGAAGCGCCCCTCCGAGGGAGAAGGGTAGGGCCTGGGCTAGGGGCTGTGTCCGGGGCTGCATCTGGGCAGCAGCTCTGGAGAAGAGTATGGAATCCGCTTCTCGTGCCTTTTATCAACATTGTCCCCACCCCCCTCAGACCTCATGACTACAGGGACAAAGGCCCCTGGGTCTACCACAGGGAAGATTCTGGGCCTGAGAATGGGCTGAGTCAGCCCCTATGCACAGGGATGGAGGGGTGGGGTTAGTAGGAGGGCCTGGCCACTCCATCTTTCATCCTCCACAGCCAGGCCAGCTCAGCTTCCCTTTTGCCAGCCTGGGCCTCGAAACCTCAGGTGCCTTGTCTTTCCCTCAGTGGTTGGCACAACTCCCTGCTCCTGCCCTCTGGTGGGCTCCTGCCGAGGCTGGCATTCAGAATCATCAATGAGAGTTCCTTTCCAGCCTGTTCTGCTGCACTGCCCCCCGCATCTGGACCCCTTAGAGTGAGCACAGCTGGCTCTGCCAGCAGGGCCTGGCCCACTTATGCTTCTCCCACCCTCTGGAGCAGGAAGACAGCCAGAGCAACAGGCACACGAGAGGCACAGTTTATTGACAGGTTACATCCTAGGACAGCCTCCTTCCCTCCCTCTGGGAGCAGGCAGGAGTAGGGGTCATGTGCGGGACATCCGTTCCTCGTCTTCGTTCTCAAGTAGGTAGGCTGGACGGTAGGTGGGCTGTCCTCCTGGGCTCAGGCACTTCAGGGCCGGGTTCGGCACTGTGTTCTCCCGGCTCCCCAGTGATGTGTAGCTGGAACCGAGAGCATGGAGGGCAATCGTGGGGTGGGGTTGGCTCTCCCAGTGGCTCTCCCTGTCCCAGCACCCTTACATCTTCCCTACCCATTCTCTTCCTCCAACACCCTTACCCTCGGTCGTACAGGATACAGTATGGGACAAACAGTTGACGCAGAAAGTCCCAGATGTCTCTGTAGGTCCAGTCCTGGGAGGGCAGAAAGTCAGAGAAGAGTCAGGAATACTCCCCTCTCCCACACCTTCCCCCTGCTGCCTGGGAAGGGGCCTATCTGGGCTCTTCTGCTCCCGTGGCCTCTGAGGGAGGGCCTGCTATCTGATTCTCTGGTACATCCTGCTCTGTGTAGGCCAAGCAATGAGAAAGAGAAAGCCTTCATCCTGTCCCCTCTCTGTTCCCAATCCACCCTCCACTGGCGCCTCAGCTCCAGGAGGACAGGGAGGGGCTGTGTCTGTGTAAGCCCATGCTGTCCAGTAGAACTTTCTGTGATGGTGGAAATGTTCTATATCTGTGCCTTCTAACATGGTGGTCACTTGAAATGTGGTTAGTGCAATTGAAGTGCTGACTTTTGAATTGTATTTAATTTTTAAAATTGAGATATAATTCACATGCCATAAAATTCAACCTTTTAAAGTATACAAATTCACTGCTTTTCGAGTAGTCTGTATTTCATTTTAATTAATTACAATTTGAGTATAAATAAATGGCTAGTGGCTACCGTAGTGGACAGCACAGTCTAAGTCATTGTTCTGTCCATAGTAGAAGGCACAATGCCTGCTGTTGAATTAGTGCTCGATAAATATTCAGTCAAAAGGCTGAATGAGCCAGCCCCGATGGCCTAGTGGTTAAACTTGGGTGCGCTCCACTTCGGCGGCCCGGATTTGGTTCCCGGGCATGGAACCACACCACTCGTCTGTCTGTCAGTAGCCATGCTGCAGCTCACACAGAAGAACTAGAAAGACCTACAACTAGAATATACAACTATGTACCGGGGCTTTGGGGAGAAAAAAAAAAGAAAGGAAGGTTGGCAACAGATGTTAGCTTAGGGTGACTCTTTCCCAGCAAAAAAAAAAAACGGCTGAATGAACAAACAGCACAGCCTCCCTTGGATGCTGGAGCCCCTTCATCCAAGTCCCAGGCTCCAACCTCCCCACCTGGGGGAGCCAGGTTGCAGTGACTGATAGGGGACATGAGACTAAAGGCGATAAATCCTATTCCCCATTACCAGCAGTGGGTTGATGCGCATGAAGGAAGGCCAGCCTGGGTCAGTGGGGCTGAAGGGGTGGAGGCTGCAGGAGTAGGGGTCGGTGCGGCGGGTGCCCATCAGGACGGCCTCCACCTGGGGGTGCCGTGTCTGCACATCACTAAGGGCCTGCTTCATGTCACCTTCAGCCTCTAGCACCCGCAGACTGTACCTGAGGAAGGACAAGGGGTGGGGGTCAGAAGTAGACCCTGCCAAGTCCCTCTTGGAGCCCAAACCTCCAGGCCCCTAGTACCTCTTGATGGTGTCCTGTAGAAACTGCTCCAGCTCAGGGAAAGGGGAGATGCTGCGGATATACAGGATCTGGAGGGGTTCTTGAGCATCAGGGCATTTCCTGGGCAGGGGGAAGTATCCACAGGCTTGCGAGCATGGGCAGGGAAATGCTCTCCAGAGAGCTTGCACTATTCTCTTTGGCCCCTGGGATGAACACCCTCCCCTTTTCCCCTTTCCCTGTCCTTCCCATGCATCAGAACCCACTTCCTCTGGGAAGCCCTCTCTGATCTCTCACCTCTCAAATCTGGAGCACACATCCCTGTTTCAGGTACGTAAATCTCACCTCCCCAACAGGTCCAACAGGACTGTGACCTCCCTGTGGTCAGGGATGGTGGCTTGCACATCCACAACCAAGGTCAGGCATGTGTCAGATATTCAAATAAATATGGTAGGGAAATAGAACAAGAGGTCACTATGGCTACCTCCCTCCCAAAACCCACCCAGACACCCCCTTTCTTCCCTGCTTCATAGGATGGGGAACTAGGGAATGGGGCAGATCAGGTGTCTCTGACGTCTTGCCTCCAGGGGGTAGGCTCACCTCTGCACAGCTGCATGGAAGAGGTGTAGGAGGGCGGTGCAGTCCTTGCCCCCATTGAAGCCCACACAGAGCTGGGGGAGGCTGTACCGAGCCAGGGCAGTCTCGATGGTCTGCAGGGCACCTGCCACCTTTCTCCCCAGAGAAGACCCTGCCAGGCAGGCAGGGAAGAGGGCATCAGATAGACACATATGGCCATCAAAAGGCAGTGGGGGCCACGTTGCCCTTGCTTAAAACCCTTCAATATCTTCCCAGTGTTCCTAGGATAAGTCCAGAGTCCTTCATGCTGCTCACTAGGTCCTGCAGAGTCTGCCCCTTGCCTGCCATTCAGCCACACCTCACCTCACTCTTCACCTCAGCGTCCTCTGAGTATCCTGGTTTCTTTCCACTCCCCTAAACCTCATGCTGCTTCCTTCCAGAACCTCTCTCATACTATTTGATCGTGTCCACCTCCTGCTCTGACCAAATCCTCCTTATCACTCAGCTTATATGTCACTTGCCCAGAGAAGCCTTCTCTGACCCCAGATCAAGGCTGATCTCCCTGCTGGGGAGTCCCCCTCATCACTGACATCTCCTGGGTCATTACCTGTTTCATGTCTGCCTCTCCTGTTAAACTACTGGTCCATGGAGTAGGGCATACTTCTGTCCTGTTGAGCTATATCCCCAACACCCAGCACAGTGCTGGTCAAAGTAGGTACTCAATCAATATTTATTGGATGAATGAATGAATCAACTGTAGCTATCTTCTACCTTCTCCTGGATTTGCGGGTAGCCTCCAACAGCCTCTGCATTCCTGAAACCTAGGGTGGCACCAATGGTCTGGTACATGCTGCCCTTCCCCCAGGAGGCCCCTACCTGACTTGGTGAGTTTGTATACGGCCTCACTGGCCTGCTCCACGGCGTTGGGTATGTAGGGGACCAGCGATCCCTGGGGCAGACGGGCAGTCAGGTAGGCCAGGCATTCCTCTAGGGGCCCTTCTTCCTCTGAGTCCAGCGTCACCTTCACCTGATAGTAGTTGCTGCCCCAGTCAGGGTAGGAACCCAGGCCAAGCCTGCGCCCAAAGTGCGCCTGGGCCTCAGCCAGGATGGGGGCAATAGAGGCCTCGTTAGCTGCCACATACAGCTCCCGCAAGTGGAACTGAACAGCTGTGTTTTGGAACAGTCCCTTCAGCCCCTCCAGCACCCGCCGCAGCAGCTCTGGAATGCCTGGGAAGAGGTAGACGTTTCGGACGGAGACCAGTGGGAATTGGAAGGGGCAGCCAGTGCAAGGATCGGTGCCGTAATGCAGGCGGGCAGAGGAGGGCACTACTGACAGCTTCTCCCAGCCCTCCCCTCCTAGGGCTTTGATGGCTGCTTCCAGCTCAGGGTGTGGCTTGAGCTCATCCCCAAAGGCCTGTGCTACTGCCTCAAAGGTCACATCATCATGAGTGGGGCCGATGCCCCCTGCCGTGAGGACATGGGTGAAGCGGCTGGAGAACGAGGTGATCTCAGCAGCAATGGTGGCTACCTCATCGGGTACAACAGAGACTCGGCACACCTGGACCCCCAGGGAGCGCAGTGTCCGGCACAGAAAGTAGGTGTTGGTGTCCTGAGTGTGTCCCTGGGAGATTGGGGATGGGGAGGAGGAGAGTGTCAATGCTGTGGGGATGAAGGGAAAGGGGGCAGGGGTGATAGCTGCATCTGCCTGATGATGGGGCACTCTGCTTTTTGGGGGACACCACCTCAGGCTGCCAAGAAGCCTGGACCGGGCACAAGAGTGGGAAAACCCATGTGAATGGGGTCAGGGATAACGTGATCCACCTTGGGTCTCCTTCTCTGCACTCTGACCTTGACCTCATCTATGCTTATAGATTCAATTATCAATTCTATGTGGACAACCGTCCATTTCCTCACAAACCCTGACAGTTTCAGTTCCCTGGCTCCAGATGCTTATTGGGTATCTTCACTCTCTCCTGTGGCTGTTGTCACTTTGGTCAATGGCATCCCCTAGACACTGTCCATAGCCAGTCAGGCCCTTCATGCTATCAACTCTACTTCTGAAATGTCTCCTCATCTGCTCTCTTCTCTCTGTCCCTACTGGCACTAAGCAGGACCTTGGCACCTTTCACCTGGACAGTGGCGACAGCCCCCTGGCCAGACTCCCAGCCTCCAGCCACAGTGCTCTGCCCTGTGCCTCCTGAAAAACCGTCCTAATGTGTCATTGTGATTGCATCACTCTTGGCCTCAAAAGCCATTTGTTGTTTCTAACCATATACAGAATAAAGTTCAAATTCCCTTCAGAATATTTGAGGCTGTCTGTCTATGGTGTGTAGCCAATCTTCTTTTCCAGCCCCATCTTCTACTTCTTTACAGAGAGCTTAATGGTTAAGGGTTACTCTGGAATAAGAGAGAATCAGGTTGGAATCCCATCTACCACTCCTAGCTGTGTAATCTTGGGCAAGGTTCTCAACCTCTTTAAGCCTCAGTCTCATAATCTATTAATTGAGATTTATAATAAAAGTACCAACGTCATGGGGTTGTGAAGATTACTAAAATCACATATGTTATGTAATAAGCATACTGCCAAGCCTTAGTAAGCACTCAAAAAATAGGGGTCAATATTACAAACTGACCTTTACAAATGATGCCTACCATGACTTCTAGTAAGAATTCCATGATCATTCAGAAGGGATTTCTCCCTTCTAGTACTTTCCTTCTACCTCACTTATCCACGCTGCTGAGTGCCTTGAATCATTTTCTAAACAGGCTGGCTATAATTCTTAAGTAATACATGCACCTGTACCTCCTTTACACGCTGGACTCTTTGTCATTTCTGTAAAACCCCTCTTCCCCCTACCATACTGCTTGGCAAATTGTAGGGAATTTGCTAAAAGTTTTTCAACAGAGTAATTGAAAGAATGAGGGTCACTTTTCTGCCAATATATTGGACTCACTCCAGGACCCTACTGCAGCTCCCACCCTGGTTCACCTTCCCTCAACAGAACGTGGAGCAGGCTCTTAAGGACAGGAGAACGCCCCGCCCTCCCCCCTCTTCTGTCCCAGACACACCTTGAGGATCTCATCTCCAACAATGATGATGCCCGCCGTCACGCTGCGCCCTGGGGGAGGTTCGGAGGCCCTAGATGCCATGGTCCTAACTTCTCTGCCCCTCTGCAAGGCCCTCCAGTAGCCACCCAGGCCCCCAAACAGGGGTCGCAAGCACGGGGATCCCGCCAGGTCTACACGGCACTGGGGGCCATAGCCCGGGAACAGCGGGTCCGGGGTGGAGAGAACCTGGAGGAGCCAGAAGGACAATGGGGGAGAGCAGGCGTGTGTGTTCTTCCTTAGAGGAACACCCTTTCAGGGTTTTCCTAACCAGGCCCTTGAAAAGCGATTCCTTTATCCATGCCTCTTTAATAAACGTGTTCTCAAACCCCAGCCCATGCCTCTTTAAATGTCTTCTAAGCTTGGCTCTAGTCTCCTTAAAATGTCCTGCTCTCTGGAGTACCTACCACTTTAAATATCTTCTGCCCGCGCACTCGGCTCCTCTAGTGTCTGCTCTATCTTGGACATCTGCACCTTTAAATATCTTCTCTCTTTGGGGCACCTGTCCCTTTAAACGTCTACCTTGTCCTGGGCTTTGGTCCTTTTAAATACGTTCCCTCCTTCCACCCCGGACCAGAATTCAGTTCCCTTCTTCAGCAGGCTTCCGCACCCTTTCTAGCCCGGAATCCCGTCTCTTCCCAGCACGCTTCAGACTACTCAGCTCTTCCAGGTTCTCACCTGCCTCTCCTGCCCCTCCACCCGTCTCTCTCTGCTCTCCTCCTGTCCCGAGACAGCTTCCGTACTCAGGGTCCCGCCTTAGGCTCACACCTACTTCACTTTAATTGGTCATATTGGCTGTCGCTCAGACAACCTCCAAGGGCCCATTGGTGTAGTCCACTGCCACTCGCGAGCTGTAGCCAGAGAGCGGGAGAAGGTACTGGGTTGTTATTGGCGACAACCACGTGGTCACCCCGCACCCGGAAATACGGGGGCGGGGCTTATCGTCTCTCAGGGCCGAACGTACAGGTTTTGGGGTGGGAAAGGAGCTGTGGTTGGAGATGCTCCAAGGACTTTGGGGTGCTCTCTTCTGGTGCTGGAAGTAAAGGAGAGACTTGACTGTAACCTCCGTCCTGTATTCAAATTCTCGCATGCATATGCTGTCTGTTTTCATTAACCATGACTCTAATTCTAGGCCAAGTGGTCGGGGGCTGGTACTGGTGTCAGAAAGGATTTTATATTGTAACAGATGGAAGTTGGAAGGACACCAAGAATAATTGTCAGCATTGCCTGTGAGATAGGAAGATCCTGGAGGTGAGCTTTTAGTGTGTGGAACTTTCATTTCTTTATTATAAACGATAAAGCTAATTACTTAACCCTCTTTGACAAGAAAAAGTCTTCCCCCACCTTGCTCCAGATGATACTTAAACATCACCTTTCTCAATTATTGGTCATATAGGTACAAGTGAGGGCAGAGACTAGGGAGTGCCAGGTGTCCACCTGGGATTCTCACATCATCCTAGCTTACTCTCAGTTGCCTTTGGTCTAAAAATGCTTCTTGAACCTTAATGTTCATACTAATCATCTGGGAACTTTTTAAATATGCTGATTAAATCTCCCGGATTCAGGTTTGGGTGGGGTCAGAGATCTGCATTTAACCAGCTCTCATGTCACGCTGATGCTTCTGGTCTGTGAGACTGTTTTCTGTGGTAAAGGTCTACAATTCATTCGTCATTTGGAGGACTGCTGAACCACAACTGGCCTCATTTCACTCTTCTCAGTATCCTCTGAAATGATGCCCATTTTACAGATTGGCAACAGGCTTAGAAAGGTGAAGGGATGCCAGACAACTGCCACAAAACACTGAAGTGAATGATAGAGCCAGGCTTCTAGACCATTCTTTCTCAATAAGCCTTGTTTTTTTTCAATTAAAAGAAGCTCAGTTCTAAAAAAATAGTCTCATTTGCCTAATGACATAAGTCATATGCTCCATTATCTTTATTAGTAGTAATGGTGATATTTGACCCCCCCCAACATCAGCTCTGGTCTAATCCTTTACCAGTGGTTCTCAAGCTTGAGTGTGCACCAGAAGCGCCTGGAGAGCTTGTTAAAATGTCGCTGGGCCCAACCCTCAGCATTTCTGATTCAGTTAAGTCAAGGGTGGAGCCCAAGAAGATGCATTTCTAATGAGTTTCCAGGTGATGTTGATGCTTCCAGTTCAGGGACCACACTTTACTACTGCTCTAGGAATACAATGGATGGAAGACGGAGAAGGGGGGAGATTAATCTCCCTTATTTAGTACTACTGTTATTTTTAAAATTAGAGGGTACAGCCTCTTCCCCTTACATTCGTGTGCCCTTCAAATGTCGGGACTATGTTAAAGGCAGCATCCCTGACTGTAGGAAACCGTTCATTTGTTTTGATGAGATGATGTCCCTATATAACCTCTATCTTAGGCCAGTAGTTAGAGTGTAATATATTTCAGTAGCAATTTGACAGCAAGTCTGCTTAAAGTAGATTAAAAACCAGTTAGTAGAATGTTGAAATAAACCTCATATCAGCAAGAGCTGAGCTTCATTATCTAACTGAAGAGGGCAGATAATTAGAATCATGACATTGAATGTGATGCTCACCCTGAGACGGGGGAAAAACCTTTACAATTAGGATTATAAAAACTTCCTCTTTAATCAAGGCTTTAAATGGAACAGAATTCTTGAATAAAATGGAAAGTTTCCAATACATTGAAACAAATCACCATACATAGAACACCTGGCAGAAAAAAAAACAAAACAGCAAGTTTACACAATCCCTGTAACAGCCATGGTCTTATTCTCAGATGCTTCCTCCATCAACCAAGTGTGTTCTGCTGGATACAGAGCTCACATGGCTTCTGGGGTCACACTCAGCTGAGGCTGTAGCCCAAAAAGCATTCATCTGGCTGGGCCGTGGTACTGTTGGCTCTGCTCAAGAAGCAAAGCAGTCACCAGCACATTCAAACAGTGTATTGAACATCCTTGAAATATCAAAGTGAGAAACAAGAAGGCAACATAATAATGTTATCAGAAAGATGTTAGCAAGTGAGGACAGCTGTGTAAAGCTTGAGGCTGAAAAGCAGCTCGCCAGCTTCATTTCTTTGGCTTCTTCGGGAGCGGCCGCCGGAACAGCAAGATGTGAGGTTCTGAAAGAGTGAGTGGAATCTCAGAGACAAGCTCACATCATTCTATGCACAACCTACAGTGTATCCCACTCCCACCTCCCAGCTATCACTCACTCAGATCTTTCTAACTAAATTAAGATTTAAGCATATGGCCTTAGAAGCAGACCCAGAAGCCTGGCCTGTCTGCCAAGTACAGAATTGTTAATATCAGCTCTTTTGCTATGTTTGTACAGCCCCGGGGTGTCCTTTATTAGTTTTGCCTGGCAGCTTGGTGTCTGGTGTCTTATCAATAAATATACTTTCCTTGGCTTATTTTGGAACACATCCAAGAATTTGCTTTCTGATGGAGAATGAAGCAGGAGCCATAACCTCTACCAGGGTATATGTGGCCTTAAAAAAAAAAAAAAAAAAAAAAAAAAAAGAGTACCCTCTAACTGAATTAGAGATTAAAGGAAGTTTTTCAGTGACAGGTTGTCTCTGAACTTTGCAGATACTTCACTCTTATTCTTATTTTTGGTCACTCCAGTTTTTCTAGCTGGCTGATGGGGTAAGGAACCAGGAAACCACCCTCCCCTTCCCACTATTCCTTTGGGTTATGCAATCTTATCATCCCTTCATTCTCTCAGTGAAGCAGTCCTACATGTTTGCTTTCAGCCTTTGCACTGACCTGGTTCATGGATCATATAATGAACCCATCCCTGACTCTGTTGAACGCCCAGATTCCTCCATTCCGATTCCGACATCAAATGGGTTTTAGGGACCAGCTTGGCTATGTCCTTGGGCAACATGACATGCCTGTAATAGAAACATGGGAAGGTGGGGAAATTGTGTCAGTACTGGGTACAGTCTGTTAGACAAGGGCCTGCATACAAAGCCAAGAGGGGAAAGAAAAGAGAAACCGGTTTCTGATGGCAAAGAGTTTATATAATCTTATTGTGGGGTAGAGGCAGCTAGAAGTAAAGGCCAAGTTATGTAAATCCTCACAAAAGTATATTAACAAGTACAACCTAATGAATAACCCAAGTGAACAAGCACCTGAGTTCCAGGCATGTTGATACACTGCCTCTGCCTTCTCAGGGCTTACAGTCTTCTAGTTGATTACCCTAAAACAATATAATGGGAGCCCCACAGCACACACACTATTAATTATTAAAGGTGGTTTGGAACAGGATTGGTAAGGAGGTGAGAGAGGTGACTTTGTGGACAAGAAAGGCCTATATGGAGTGCTGTGTGGAACAGCCATCACAAAGGATGAAACACAAATGTCTTATCCTTTAAAATATATCCTGAATCTCATTTTCCTAACTCTGAAGGGATGTGCCATGAGACGTCTTTTGGGAAACTCCATGTTCCCCCAACCAAGATAAGTCTTCTTTCATGGCAAAGAAATTATTACCCTGACTTCAATCAGGCTAACCCAGATCAACTTCATCACGCTCAGTGAAAATTTACTAAATGCACTCTCTGTGCTAGTAACAGACATTTTTCCAAAGAGATAATTCTAGTCTAAATATCTGAAAATAGCTTATATTCTAACAAGCCCCTGGCACAAAGTTTGGCTTCAATACCTAATTAGACCAAGGGGAAAAAAAAAAAAAACAGAAAACAACTTTCTTAAGCCAAAATACCACTGTCAAGACTTACATCTTCCAGAAGATCAAACTAGTGACTTCTCCCTAGTCCTGCAAAGATGTTATAGGCAGTTTTAGTTAGCTTAGCTCAGATGTAGAGGAAAACAGCTGAGGAAAAGACAGTTAACTGGATCCAAGCAGAGCCTGGGGTCTTTTCCCAAGGACCTGGCATAAAGATGGTTATGTATCTGTCAGCACACACCGAGTTCTCCCTGCATTATGTTGGAGAAGAAACACAAGAAAAGCAATTTCCATTCTATGTTCTTCAGTTGAGAAGATACAAACTAGGAAGTTGTTTAAAGTATTACACCTAATACAGGTTAGTGGAATGCCAACATTTCTAGAATTTTTGTCTTCTCTAATTTTCCAATCTAGAATTATGGATTTAGGATTTATCAAATGCAAACTCCATAGGGATTCCTTTCTTCACCATCCTTGGCCAAGTCCTATCTCTATCATAGGTATTCCCATCTCTATCATACCAATTATCACTTTTTTCTGAAGTCTGTCAGTATTTCACAGATTTGTAGGTTTGTTGAAAGCAGAGACCACGGCTTACCCTTGCACTTTAGCAGAACACCTGAAACCTATAAGCACTCCATAATTGTTTCCTAAATAGATGCCCTTCAAATATTTGAAGGGCATGTATTAGGTTCATGTTAAGTCTTTTCTCAATGTTCCTGGCCAGTTTTATTCCACTCCAATTCCTCGAAGCTCCTTTCCTAAAACAAGCCAGACAACTACGTCCCTTTCCCATGAATTAATGAGCAGCACTCAGGCTCTCTCAGAACTCCCCTCGCATTGAAGACGCGAGGAAAATTCGAGCTCCACCTTTGCCACCTTTTCCCAGTAGGCTCTAAGGTTCTATGGTGTTGCCGTGATACGAGCAGTCAGGGCAAGTTCAACTTGCTCAATAAAGTTGAAGGATCCAGAAACCCGTGAAGGTGGTCAGCACGCTAACACTCTAACCACGCCCACCTACACCTCCTCCCAACAGGGTCGACTCCAAATTCACTACCACTTTGTTTCTTTTACAATCACCGCCCACCCTTCGCGCATGCGCCTTACGCTCTCAACTATCACGCCCGTCCCGTTAACCTCCGCGCATGCGCCGATTCTGTCGCTTCAGTCCCTGTTACTAACTCCTTGGGTCCTCATTTGTCAAAACTCACGACCTCGTTATGGCCCCCCGCCAGCACTAACCGGTATTCGAACTCCTCGTCGTCGTATTTGTCCGAATAGTAAATTTGTTTGTGCGACATGATCACTCTGCCTGAAGACCGCCAGCTCCGCGCCGCCAACCTCCAAACAACTCCCAGCAGCACGCGCTCCCACCCTCCTTGGCCTCGCTTTCAAACACGCCGCTCGCGCTTCCTATTGGCCCCTTTGGCTTAAGGCGGGACAAGTCCACCTTCAAGCCTCCGATTGGCTTAGATTTGCTTCTCCTCGAGTCCTTATTGGAGTGCACTTCTTACGTTTCTCAAGAACGAGCGTAGCTCAAAAATAGGCCTCTTATTGGCTGTCGCCGCTCCCGTGCGCGTTCTCGCGCTGCCATTGGCTGATTCGGGAAAGTGGGACGGGTGAAGGAGGGACGGTGAGGTAGAGGGTCAGGGGTTAGTGAGGCCGGAAGTGAGTGCAATAAAGTTTCTCCAGGGAGGCCAGGCCCAGGGAGAAAGTTGGAGCGGCGACCTAAAGAGGCAGTGGCGTGATCCGGAACCAAATCTGCCCGCGGTGCGGTGCGGAGACTCCATGAGGCCCTGGTGAGTTGGGACTTTTTTTTCTCTTTTGATGACCCACTCCTCCACCCCGGAACCCCTCTCCGGGGACCCTACTTCCGGTCTTCGTCTATAAGTCCCGCCCCCAAGACCCCCTCTCCGGAAGTCCCACCTCCCAACTTCAGGGGGCTCCCCGAATCCCCACTTGTTTTATATTTATTGTCTCGGACCTCACCCTGTCACCCAGTTTTCCTGGAAGTCCCACCCCCAGACACGCTTCCAAGGCCTACTACAAGAAGCCCTACGTTAGTCCTTCCAACTCCCCGAAACTCCGCCTCCTCGCGACGATTCTCCGCTAACTCCTGTCTATCAAAAAGCCTATCTCCCAAAAGCGCAAAACCCTGCCCCTCACAGAACTACTGTATTCGAATTCGTGAAGCCACGCCTCCCTATGGGCTCCGCCCCTCTAGAAGCCCCGCCCCTTCCTCAATCTACATCTGATTGTCCAGAAGCCTCGTCTCCTAGAAGTGTCTGATGCACGCGTGCTAGGGGACCACGCCCCCTCAGGAGCTTTATCCCTGTGGGACCCAGGTCACGCCTTAGAAGCTTTGTCTTCAATCCCAGAAGCTCCACCTGTTTCTCTTTTGGGCATTGGGCTCAGTTTCCTGAGCTCTCATGCTCCACCGCGTGGGAAGTCAAAGTTCCCAACGCTGGCTCTGAGGAGTGCGAGATTAGAGCCAGCCGTTTTCCTCTCCCTTACCCCCTTCCAAGGCTGGACCTACTTGAAGGGGGCTGGACTTGGGGTTTGGCAAGAGAGTGGGAGAGAGACTTGCTCATAGATTCCCAGCCCCACTCGGAGTTTCCCTTCCCAGGACTGACTCCACCCCAGAAACAGCTGTGTCTCATACCTGTACCTCGGGAGCTGGGTGGGGCCATGGATTTGCTGGTGTGTGACGGGAGCGAAAGTTTTCTACCACCAGAAAACGGTAGCTTGGAGTGGGTGTAGGGGACAGTGTCCTTTTTTGCTGTTTGATTCTTTTAAGGGACTCCTCAGCCCCCACCACTTCTCTGGCTCTTCCCCTCCTCCTAACCAGAGTTATTGTCTGGGCATTCCTCCTGGTCGCGCTTACCCAGCCTTCCCTTCTGGAAACATTCCTGAGGCTTTCGCCATTTCCTGCTACTTCCCACTGCTCTTGCCTCCTCCTCCCTGCTGGGCTGAGAAGCCACACGGCAGCTTCTGCCCCTCACCCAATCACTGGGACTCCCAGTAGGCAATCTCCTTTTTTCCTATGCAAATGTTAGGAGCCCTACTTCCTCTTTCTTTTCTTCCAAATACCCACACCTGTTGGCCATTCCCTGCCTCTAGATCCTGCAGGCTCCCACAGAACGCCAATCTCTAAAGATGAGGACATCCTGGTGTGTGTGAGTTGAGGGTGTGAGCCTATGGCAGAATCCTTTCTTCATTCTCTCTGTCCCTGAGCGCAGAGGCCTTAGGAAAAGCAGTGATAGAATTCCTTCTCAGGAGTGGTAGATGGAGTGACAAAGCTCTCCTTGGATGAGGACCAAGGGGAGCTGAAAGAGTTTAGCACAGTGTCTAACACGTTTTAAGTGCTAGTAGTGGCAATCACTATAATCTTATGATTATTTGTGAATTTTTATCTTCTGAAGTAAATCTAAGAGTAGAGTAATTCCAAGGTGAGCCTGGGGGGGTACAATGTATTTTTTACTATTTATTTTTTGGTTACTTTCCAACTTCCTCCATGGCCCCTTGAAGCAGAGCTGTGGCAGGAAGTGTGGGTGGAAGGAATGAGTTTGGGACTGTTCCCTGTGTCCAGCATCAGCCCATCTTCTCCTGTCACCCTTTTCTCCCGTACTTAGCATAGATTTGTCTTCTGTCCCCTCTATCCCTTCATGGCCTGTAGCCCCCACTTCTCTTGGAGAACTGTTTCACTTTCCCACCTCCTCTGGCCAGATCCTGCCCCTGATATGAGGGGCACTGTGCTCTATGGTGGACACCTGCACCCTCCCCAGTCACACTACAGGAGGAGGAGTGTGAGCATACCTGGCAAGTCCAGGGAGCTGAGCTTAGTGTCAGTGCCCTGCCCACCCCCCCACCTACCCTTGACAGCTTGCTTTGCTAACGAGGCTTGTGGAAAGGAGGGACAGAAGAGTGCTTGGCCGTGGGCCGCTGCTCCTTGGCATGGTAGGTGCCATGCATAGAGAACAAGGCTCCCTCAGCCTGTCCTCTGCTCCAGCTCCTGCCTGGTGGCTCCCTGATGCACCGCCCAGGTTGGATGTTATTTTCCTTACTTCACCAGCTTTGCCCTTCCTCTTGGCCCCTCTGCATCCGCTGGGACCACTTCCTTCCTTTCCCGTTTCTTTAGCTCCAGTCCACAGCTGTTGTAACAGAGGATGCTAATGGCCCAGGCTCCCTGGGGCCACCACCCCACTGTGTGGTAGTGGTGGGGGGTGGCCTGGGCTGGAGGATGGGGGAATTTGAGTGTTCAACCAGGATAGGAAGGGAAATGCTGAGCTCAGGGATCCCCTCCCTTTTCCACCCCCAGCTGTCTCTGTTTTCCTCCCTCATTCCCCTCTACCCTCCCTCAGCTTCCTGCTCCCTTTGGCCTGCCCATGTCCTGTTTGGATTGATCTAGACCTCCTCTTATCTCCCTCCTTTCCTCTCACTCCTCCGTCCTTCCCTCCCACACCCACTCCCACTTTACTCTTCCCCAGATTACTAATTGTTTGTATGGGGCAGGGGGCCATGGAGAGTTCTACCCCTGCAAGGGTTCTAGGTTGGGGCACTGGTGGGGGCTCAGCCCCTCAGAGCCTGTGAGTCAGCACTGTCCTCGGGATTGGTCTCTCCCCTTAGCTCCCCGCCCCTGGGGAGGAGCCAGGCAGCTCTAGGTCCAGCCTGGTCTCTCTCCTCTCAGCCAGAGAAGAGGCTCCACGCTGGGCATAGATGGGGCCTGAAACTGTCTGGGTCTGAGCGGGGGAGCCAGAGCCACTCATCCCTCTCCCTTCCCAGGACCCCTGAGATCTCTGGGCCATAGAGGTCCGATCAGGCTAAGGGCCTGGGGATGCCCCCTGCCTGGCCCCCTTGCCCTGACTGGCAGGGGGGCCGGGCTGGGCAGCAGCCTCCCTCTCACTCCAGCCATGGATCTCCTGCCCCCCAAGCCCAAGTACAACCCACTTCGGAATGAGTCTCTGTCATCGCTGGAGGAGGGGGCTTCAGGGTCCACCCCACCGGAGGAGCTGCCTTCCCCATCAGCCTCATCCCTGGGGCCCATCCTGCCACCTCTGCCTGGAGACGATAGTCCCACTACCCTGTGCTCCTTCTTCCCCCGGATGAGCAACTTGAAGCTGGCCAATCCGGCTGGGGGGCGCCCGGGGCCCAAGGGGGAGCCAGGAAGGGCAGCCGAGGATGGGGAGGGGATCTTAGGGGCAACCATGCCGGACTCAGGCCCCCTGCCCCTCCTCCAGGACATGAACAAGCTGAGTGGAGGCGGCGGGCGCAGGACTCGGGTGGAAGGGGGCCAGCTGGGGGGCGAGGAGTGGACCCGCCACGGGAGCTTTGTCAATAAGCCCACGCGGGGCTGGCTGCATCCCAACGACAAAGTCATGGGACCGGGGGTTTCCTACTTGGTTCGGGTGAGTGAACATCTTCCCTCCTACTCCCTCCCAGACCCCTGCAGTTCCTCTGCTCACTCCAGCAAAGCTGGAGTCTTTTTTTCCTGCTCTCCCCCAGCAACTCCCTTGGTTTCAGTGTCCTGTTTGTTAAACCTTTCTTGCCCCTCCTCCAATTCTGTAGTCCCTTCCTTTCCAGCTCTGCCTGGGCCCCCTTCCTTCTTGTGACTCTCCCACCCCCGCCCTGCCATGCTTAGCACAATGCCCAGCACATTGAAGGCCTTAGTAAGTGTTGGAATGAGTGACTCTTGATTGTCCCCTCCAGTCTCCTCCCCCTTTCTGGAGATGTCACTCCATCCCACCCAATGCCTGTCACTCCCCTCCAAATTCTCTTCCCAGATGCATGAGGTCCTCCTAGCCTGCCCTTTCCTTTTCCCCTCATTCCCTGTTGTCTTGCATGTTGTGGGATGTAGCCACGGGCAGTGGGCAGAACTTCATCTTTACTTCCCTTAGGGACAACGTAGGGGAAAGTCCTAGGGCCCTTTGAAGGGGTTGGGGGGAGGTGGCTGACTTGTTATCCTCCCATCCGTCCCCTCAGTACATGGGCTGTGTGGAGGTCCTGCAGTCAATGCGTGCCCTAGACTTCAACACCCGGACTCAGGTCACCAGGTTAGTGGGGGGCGGGGGGGGGGGCGGATTATGGAAGTCCTGGGATTAGTGCGGGGAGGTGGGAAGTGGGTCACTTGGTGGTGGTGCTAGTGATGGCTTATCTTAGGGTGGTAAAGGGGAGTGAGAGAAAGTTAGGGGAGTAAGTCTAAGTCTGAATGAAAAGAGGCAACTCTGGCCTGGATCCTCCTTACTTATCCAGCCTGGGGAGCTGTGGGGGAGGTGGCAGAGGCAGCTGGCAGCTGGAGCTTGAGTAGAAAATGGGGGTAGATGGAAGGTTGCTGCTGCCTTTGGGAAGGGAATGGGACATTTGGTAGCTGGAAAGGGGTGGGGCCATACCCATTGAGGCCCTAACCCAATCAGCCAGGAAGCGGCCTCTCAGTGTCATCAAATATTAAAGGCCCTTAATTCAATCCACCACGACAAAGAGCCTGGAGTGCCCCGGGAGTCTGGCCTGGTCTTCCCCTCCCCCAGCCCTGTGGCAGCCCCAGCCAAGTGGAGGCAAGCCTGGGTCTGAGTACCCCTCTTTCCCCAGGGAGGCCATCAGTCTGGTGTGTGAGGCTGTGCCGGGTGCTAAGGGGGCCACAAGGAGGAGAAAGGTACCTGGGGTCGATGGGCTAGCGGTGCTGCTGGGAGATGTGGAGGAGCAGGGGAAAGCAGGTGGGGGGCAGGATTGTGGTGGTCTCTTGGTGTTGGGAACCCCCAGCTTCTAAGACCCTTGGGCCCTTCCCTAGCCCTGTAGCCGCCCGCTCAGCTCCATCCTGGGGAGGAGTAACCTGAAATTTGCTGGAATGCCAATCACTCTCACCGTCTCCACCAGCAGCCTCAACCTCATGGCCGCAGACTGCAAACAGGTTGGTGGGGTTGGGCAGGGGGACCAGAAATACTGATGGGAGGGCTAAGCAGGGACCTGGCTATGAGGACAAGAAATGGGGAGAGAGGGCTTGGGTGCACCAGGACAGTAGGGAAGAAGGAAATTAGGAGGACATGGGGTAAGAACCCAAAAGAATGAGACTGTACCTCCAGGGCTCTGGGCCAGGGATGGGGGGCACCCAGATGGTCCTTGAGGCTGCCTGACACATGTCATTCCTTTCCTTTTGTACCCCCTGCCCTAACCCTCAGATCATCGCCAACCACCACATGCAATCTATCTCGTTTGCGTCCGGCGGGGACCCGGTGAGTTGGAGAACAGAGCAGAGGTGGTGGGAAAATAAAGGGCCAGGCATCGGGAAGACACTGGCTAGAGAAGTGGGCATGCTAGGATTGGGGTGATATCTGAAAAGGCCTGGGTTTTAGGGGTCAGGAGTGAGATGGGGCTGTAAGATTTAACTAACTGTCGTCTTCTGATTCTGTCCACCCCAGGACACAGCCGAGTATGTTGCCTATGTTGCCAAAGACCCGGTCAATCAGAGAGGTGAGGCGTGGTGGGGAGCACTGGGTGGGGCTGGCTGTCCATGAGGCAGGTAAGCAGGACCCCGGGAGCTAAGCAGGGGCTCCTGCCAAGGAGGACGAGGGCTCATGTCCACGCCTCCTCCCAGCAACCCCACCTCAGAGCTCACTGACTGCCTCTACTGTGCCCTCAGCCTGCCACATCCTGGAGTGTCCCGAAGGGCTTGCTCAGGACGTCATCAGCACCATTGGCCAGGCCTTCGAGTTGCGCTTCAAACAATACCTCAGGAACCCGCCCAAGCTGGTCACCCCCCATGACAGGTGAGTGGGTGAGGAGGATGTGGGGCAGCTCTTGGGCCCCAGACCGGAACTAGGAAAGTGGGTCTGCTCTTCCCACACTTGAGCTCAGAGAGGTGCAGGGAAGGAAGTAACCTGTGTGCCCCTACTTCCCACTTCCTGCTATTCTTCAGTTTCCTGTGGCCGTCAGGAGAGTCTTTCGAGCCCCTGCCTGCTGCAGGGCCAGCTCTTCCTCTTGTGTGCCTGTGGTGGGGCTGTACTCCAGGACTGTAGTCCAGGACCTCCACGCTGCAACTCTTCACTGGCTGGATGGACCTTTCTAGTCCCAGCTGCCTCGTTTCTGGCTTGTCTCTCTTTCTTGCCCATTTCTCCATCCTTAGTTCTTCGTTTTCCTACCCCTAGAAGCCATCAAGAATTTGGATGAGGGAGGATGTCTCTTTCCTGAGATTCCTACCTTTCCCACCTCAGGCCAGTAGGTATTGAGTATTTAGGGGAGATTAAAGTATTCTGGAACACCCCACTCCCTGCTACTTAGTCCTTCCCCTCCCTCGTGGGAGATGGCATAGTGATCAAGGGTATGAACTGTAAAATCAAATCTGAATTTACATCTCAGCTCCCCCATCTTTTAGTTGTGACCTTGGGCAAATCCTTTCATCTCTGATCCTCGTTTTCCTCATCTATAAAATTGGGGAAGGAAATAATGCCTACCTTGTAGGGTTGCCAAGAGGATGAAATGATTATGTATATAGAACACCCGGCCTCAGGCCTACCCCAGAGGAAATGCCCAATACGTGACCACTATTCCGTTCCCCTCCCCCTGTCCTCCCACCCACATTCCCCACTCCCTCCTGTCCCTCTCAGGATGACTGGCTTTGATGGCTCAGCTTGGGATGAGGAGGAGGAAGAGCCACCAGACCATCAGTACTATAATGACTTTCCCGGGAAGGAACCCCCTCTTGGGGGGGTGGTGGACATGAGGCTTCGGGAAGGAGCCCCCTCGGGGGCTGCTCGACCCACTCTGCCCAGTGCCCAGACCCCCAGCCACCTGGGAGCTACGCTGGTAAGTTGCTTGGATGGAGGTGGGCTGGGACCGGGATGGGAGTGGTGGGTTAGGGCCTCTGGTCTTACCTTATTTTTGTCCTTGCAGCCTGTGGGCCAGCCTGTTGGAGGAGACCAAGAAGTCCGCAAACAGATGCCACCTCCACCATCCTGCCCAGGTATGAAGGGAGCTGAGAGGGCCAGAGCCAGGGGTGTAGGAGGCAGGGCTGGAGGTCACTGTAAAGCCTCCCTTTCCCCAGCAGGCAGAGAGCTCTTTGATGATCCCTCCTATGTCAACGTCCAGAACCTCGACAAGGCCCGGCAAGCAGGGGGCGGGGCTGGGCCCCCCAATCCTGCCATCAATGGCAGCGCGCCCCGAGACCTCTTCGACATGAGTGAGTGCTCCTCTCTCCTTTCTGCATCTCCGTCTTCCCACTTGGTTCCTCTTCTTCTCCTGCCTGTCTGCTCTTTCCTTCTTGGCCTCCCCTCCCTGAAGGTCTGGATCTGGGCATGTGTTGTGCCAGCTGCCTCTCCTAGCCCTCTCTCTGCACCCCCAGAGCCCTTTGAAGATGCCCTTCGGGTGCCTCCACCTGCCCAGTCAGTGGCCATGGCCGAGCAGCTCCGAGGGGAGCCCTGGTTCCATGGGAAGCTGAGCCGGCGGGAGGCTGAGGCACTGCTGCAGCTCAATGGAGACTTCCTGGTGCGGGAAAGCACGACCACACCTGGCCAGTATGTGCTCACTGGCTTGCAGAGTGGGCAGCCCAAGCACCTGCTACTGGTGGACCCCGAGGGTGTGGTGAGTGGCAGGGGTGTGGGTGGGGTGGCAGAAAGGAAGGTGCAGTACCCTCCCCTGCAGCCCTGTTCCTTCCCTCATTGCTTCCTAGACCTTCCTGCTGGGCACCTCTATATGGACCTCCCCTGCTCTCAAGCTGCCTGGCATCCCCCCTCCAGGGGCTTAGAGTTCCTTCCCATCTCATCCCTGAGCCTGAGCTGTGTTCCTTTCTGTCCTGGCCAGTCCTCAAATCCTCAAACCGTATGCCCATCTGAGCCAGAAGGTGCTCATCTCACCTGAACCCCTCATTTGACAAATGAGGAAACCATCCTGGGGAGGTTGTGATGCTCAATGTCAGATGGTTAGAGGCTAGACACCCCAAGTCTCCTCTTGCAGGGTGCCAGGGGCCTCCCTAGCTCCTTCAGACTCAGGGCTCTGACCAGTGTCCTGACTCCTCTATTTGTACTGCCCCACTGCCCCTCATAACTTTGGTCTCTTTTCTATAGCAATCTCAGCCTCCTTTCCACAGATCTTCTGTACTCTGTGTCCTCCTCTGAGACATGCCACCGTCTTCCAGCTCAAGGGAGGAGTAGATATCCCTCAGCTTCATGATGTCTGGGCTGATGTCCCCTCTGCCTTTTCCCAGTTCACTGACCTGCCCATTCCCATGGTTATCTCTAGCTTTTCTTTCTAGAGAAGTCTCAATGATCAGGACTGACAGCCCTCTCACCCCTGCCATCTTATTCTCCTTCCTCAACCCTCTTGAATATTCCAGCTTTCTCAGCCTTGGGGGCTGAGGTCTTATTTGACCCTTCCCCACTTCCCAGGTTCGCACAAAGGATCACCGCTTTGAGAGTGTCAGTCACCTCATCAGCTACCACATGGACAATCACTTGCCCATCATCTCTGCGGGCAGCGAACTGTGTCTACAGCAACCTGTGGAGCGGAAACTGTGATCCTCCCCAGCGCTCTCTCCCAGAAGACACCCTTGCACCCTTTTCACCCTATTCCCTGACTCTCAGGACCTCACTTGGGAGTGTTCTGTGGGCTTGGCCTTGTATAGGAGCTGGGGGTAGTGTGGACATGAGGGTCAGCATCCAGCTGAGTGAGAGGGTTTGAGTCAGGAGCCTGGGGTAGAATCCTGCTTCTTCCCCAACCTCACCAAAGTATTAATGTACAGAGTGGCCCCTTTCCCTGGGCCTTTCCTGTGCCAACCTGTTACCCCCTTCTCCATGAAGGTGGGTGCTTGGGGCCTGGGTATTGTGCCTCCTTGTATGGAAAATGTCCTGTGGTTATAGGCCCAATGGAGTAATCACCCTTCCAGGGAAGGGGAAACGAATCACACTTTTGCTCTACCCCTGGCTCAGGGTACCCCAGACCCCTCTCAACAACCCGGCCTCCCAGTGTTTAAACTTTGTGCCTTTGACCATCTCCTAGGTCTGAAGATATTTTATGCAAAGAGTTTTCGGGTCCCTGAGGTCAAGGACGGGTGCTGACACCTTCTTGGCCTCTGGGACCCTGTCCTCTCCTTGCTCAGCACCCCCTCCATTTAGGCTGGGAGAACAGAGGCAGGAGTGGCGGCTGTCCCCTCTCCCTGGGGATAGGCAACCCTTAGAGATTGCCTCAGAGCCCCCTCCTGGCCAGGGGGGAGATGGACCCCTCCCTTGCTCAGTGCCTCCTGGCCAGAGCCCCTCACCCCAGGGGTCTGTATGTACATTTTGTAAGCCCCACCCCTCCGTGTTGCATGCATGTTATACTCTACAGCCAAAGCGTAGCCCTGCCTCCTGTGGCCCTGGCTCTGCTTCCCCCTGCTAGGGTGGGGGTGGGGGTCGGGGGATGACTGAATTTGGGCCTCCTGAACGGTTAACTCTCTCAGGTGGATTGTGTGGCAGCGGGAAAAGGGGCATTGAGACTCTAAAGCAGTAGACAATCTCCAAATACCATCTGTAGATTTGGAACTGCATTTATTTCTTATTTTATATAAAATATATATGCATATATTTTAGGGCTGTAGATTTCCTTTCCTAATTTGTTTTCCATGGCTTATTCTTGAGCACAAAATGATAATAATCGATTACATTTATACATCACGTCTTTGACTTTTCAAAGCCCTTTTACAACTATGGGATTTTCCTCACGCTAGCCTGTGAGGCAGTTTGGACCGGCAGCATTATCTTTTCTACAAGAGAGACCCGAGGGGGAGAGAGGTCGATCATGAGCTAGGACTAGAAAAACTTGGGCCTCTCACCGCGAGGCTGGGAGGCAGAAATTTGGCTGAATGTTAACAGTTTCACCAGGGGGAAACTGAAAACCTGCGGTTATCGAGTACCTTCTACAGGCCGGGCTCTGCACGAGGCCTGGGTGGCCACAGCGACAGAGGAGCCGGCCTGCTCTGTCTCTAGGCCTTGTGGAGAAGGGAGAGTTGACTGTCTTAATCCTCGCCTCCTCTTTTTTGTTTGGATGTTTTCACGGGTCTCACTTATACCAAAGGGAAAGAATCTTAATTAAAGTCCATATTTCTTCTACCTCGGCCTCTTAGTTCCTGTCGCTGTCTATTGTTCGCTGTCGGGTCCCCGCGGCGGCTGGGGAGACGGGAGACGGGTGGCGGTGGCCGCGGCCGCCTGGGAGCGCGGAGCGGCCCGACCCACCTGGCCTGGCTGGGGCCGGGCTCCCCCGCCCACGACACCGGGGAGGAGGGCCGCGGGGAAGGCGCGGCAGGGGGCGCGGCGCAGCACGGCCGGCCAGGGAGGATGCTCGTGTCTCAGGAGGGGGCCAGGGCCAGGCGGGGCGGGATGCCGCCCGCCCGCCCGACGCCGGACCCCCGGCGGCCTGGACCTCCCGGGCGCGCGCCTCGGCCCGCGCAGCCCCGCGGCGGCCTCCGCCCGCTATGGTACGGTCCGGTACAGGCGCGGCCGGCCGCCGCCCCTAGTTGAGTGGCGCGCGCCACTGCCCCCGCGCGAAGCAGCCCTTCCTACGGGGCTCGGCTGCGGTCCGACTACCCCTCACGTCGCTTTTGAGGGGAGACTTGCCCCGTCCTCGCTCCCCCTCCGCGCCGCGCTCAGTGGTGGCGGCCGAGCCGAGTTCCGGTTCCTGTGGCTGCGGCCGCGGGCAGGCGGCGAGACTGGGGCGAGCGCGCAGTTGGCGCTTGGGCTCGGCTTCTGCCCCTCGCCGCGCCGCGGGGTGGCTGCAGCGCGGTGGCTGCGCTGCCCCTGACTCCCCTTCCCGGCGATGGTGCAATCCGAGGGCGCGTCCTTTCCCTGCCGCCGCTGACCCGGGTCCCCCACTCCATGGCCGCCTCGGCGCCGCCCCCACCGGACAAGCTGGAGGGAGGTGGCGGCCCCGCACCGCCCCCTGCGCCGCCCAGCACCGGGAGGAAGCAGGGCAAGGCCGGTGAGAGGGCTGAGATGGCTGGAGGCTGGAGAGGCCGTGGACTTGGGCACCTCGGAGGGAGGGTGGGCGGGTGGGGGAAGTGGTGGTCCTTAGGCTGAGGGGCCTGAAGGGAGGCTCCAGTGCAAAGGATGGGTGGGTGAAGCCCTCCAGGGGTTGGAGGCTTCAGAGGTTGGGTCACAGATTGAGGACCCTAGGTTTTGGAGGCACGTGGAATTCACAAGTCACTTAGAAGTCTGAGGGTGTCAAGAGATGGGATGTCTCTCATTTAAAGGAAGAGGCCGCTGAGTGTGGTCATACAATTTATTTTCCTGTTAACACCTTTGTTAGTGTTTGTTAAGTAAATAAGCGAGTGTCTATTGAAGTTAGAAGAGTTCCTCAGAGCAAGGCTGGGAGAAAGGAAGTCAGGGAAGCCTCAGGGAAACTTGTGTCTGCCTTTTGCTGCTCTTCCAGGTCTGCAAATGAAGAGCCCAGAGAAGAAGCGAAGGAAGTCAAATACTCAGGTGAGTGGTGGTTGGTGGGGGTAATTCCTCCGGGGGTTCTCCACTCTGCTGCTCCAGTATCCCTTTGTATCTTGCATCAGGTGCAGGAGAAGAGAATGCTGTCCCTCTTGCTCTGTTTCTGGTCCTTTCCCTCAACTTCATAACACCTTTGTGGGGGTGGGAAATGAGATGATCTGACCAAAGATCTTACCAGTCAGGATTAGAATCTTCCTCTCTCCCATTTTTCCTGTCCTGGTTCCCTCAGGATGATAACACCCATCACTTACTGAGCCTTTTAAGTGCCAGGGATTGTGCTAAAGGCTTTAGCAGTTTTGGGAGATAGGCATTGTCCCTATTTTACAGATGAGGAATCTGAGGTTTAGAGAAGTTAAATACCTGCTCCAGGGTCTTGAGGTTATTCAGCGTCAGAGCAGGGATTTCAGTGTAGTTCTGCCTGTTTTCAAAACACAGTTACACGGGCCAGCCCCGTGGCTTAGCGGTTAAGTGTGCGTGCTCCGCTACTGGCGGCCTGGGTTCGGATCCTGGGCGGGCACCAACACACTGCTTCTCCGGCCATGCTGAGGCCGCGTCCCACATACAGCAACTAGACGGATGTGCAACTACGACATACAACTATCTACTGGGGCTTTGGGGGAAAAAAAAAACACAGTTACAGCACTGTGCTGGTTCTGCTTTCTACCCTCTGCTTCTCTGTTGCATTCTAAGCTCCATCTTGATTTTAGATCTGAGCTGGCCAGTACCAGCCTCCAAAATGTATATTGTGTTTCTAGTGCTCTCCTGGTTAACTCTGGCTCTCCCTCCATGACTGTCTTTTCCTCATCTGTTCCCCACCAGGGCCCTGCATACTCACATCTGACGGAGTTTGCACCACCCCCGACTCCCATGGTGGATCACCTGGTTGCATCCAACCCTTTTGAGGATGACTTCGGAGCCCCTAAGGTGGGGGCCGCAGCCCCTCCGTTCCTTGGCAGTCCTGTCCCCTTTGGAGGCTTCCGTGTACAGGGGGGCATGGCAGGCCAGGTACCCCCAGGCTATGGCACTGGGGGTGGAGGGGGCCCCCAGCCTCTTCGTCGACAGCCTCCCCCTTTCGCTTCCAACCCTATGGGCCCTGCTTTCAACATGCCTCCCCAGGGCCCTGGCTACCCACCCCCAGGCAACATGAGCTTTCCCAGCCAACCCTTCAGCCAGCCTCTGGGTCAAAACTTTAGCCCTCCTGGTGGGCAGATGATGCCAGGCCCGGTGGGGGGATTTGGCCCCATGATCTCACCGACTATGGGACAACCTCCCAGAGGGGAGCTGGGCCCCCCTTCTCTCCCCCAACGCTTTGCCCAGCCAGGGGCACCTTTTGGCCCTTCTCCTCTCCAGAGACCTGGTCAGGGGCTCCCCAGCCTGCCCGTCAACACAAGTCCTTTCCCTGGTCCGGACCCTGGCTTTCCTGGCCCCGGTGGTGAGGATGGGGGGAAGCCCTTGAATCCGCCTGCACCCACTGCTTTTCCCCAGGAGCCCCACTCAGGTTCCCCAGCTGCTGCTGTTAATGGGAATCAGCCCAGTTTCCCCCCAAACAGCAGTGGGCGGGGTGGGGGCACTCCAGATGCCAACAGCCTGGCACCTCCCGGCAAGGCAGGTGGGGGTTCAGGGCCCCAGCCTCCGTCAGGCCTGGTGTACCCATGTGGTGCCTGTCGGAGTGAGGTGAACGACGACCAGGATGCCATTTTGTGTGAGGCCTCCTGCCAGAAGTGGTTCCACCGCGAATGCACAGGCATGACTGAGAGTGCCTATGGGCTGCTGACCACAGAGGCCTCTGCTGTCTGGGCCTGCGATCTCTGCCTCAAGACCAAGGAGATCCAGTCTGTGTACATCCGCGAGGGCATGGGGCAGCTGGTGGCGGCTAACGATGGGTGACACTGGCGAGGGGGCCCAGGGAGGTGTATACGTCCCTCCTCGCTCTTTCAGGGTGATTGTTTCCATGTCTGGCTCTTGGTCCTTGTTTCCACTGGCTTCCCACCCCCATGGGGCAGAAACACAGTGGCTCCTGGGGGCAGAAAAGGAACTGAAGTGGGCAGGCAGAAGAGCCTGGATTGCTCTCCTTTCTGGAAACTTCTGCGTTGAGATCTACAGAGATCCAGGAAACCAAAGCCCTGCCAAGCAGAGCCTTTTTTTGTGGCTGTCTCTGGAGGCTTAGGGGTATGGCTGCAAGAGAAAAGAGGCTGGAGGACCATCTGGAGGGCAGGGGTGTCCCCTCTGCAGATGATGGACACCCCCAACACCTGTGCCTAACACTCCTACACAGCTCCAGCTTTAGTTTTTGGAGTCAAGCGTTAAAGCTTTGTTTCTGGCCAGAGGAGTTGGAATCTCGTCCCATCCCTTCAATAGCCCTTTCATGGGCTCTGGGAGACAGCTTTAGGTAATAAATGAGGATTTTTCCCTTTTCCTACCCGCCTCTTGCCTCCTCCAAGACCTACCCAGCTCCTTCCCCCTCAGAGAACCAAATAGCTTGAAGAAGAAGAGGAGAGTTCTCAGCTGTGGCAGTTTCTTGGTGATTTGGGGCTTCAAGACAGTAGGTAAGAAATGCTGTCAGGACATATCTCCCTCATACCAAAGTCACTGGTCCTTTCTCAGCCTCTTGTGCTTTTCTCCGAATGACCATATTTTTGCCAAAAATTGGGCTATGTGGTCTGACCGGAATATTTGAAGTTTGGACTGTCCTGGAGGCCTGGATTCTGTGGTCAAACCACCCCGCCCACCTTGCCCCTCTGTTGCACATTATCCTCAGCGCTGATCTTCAACCTTGGGCGCCCTCTTTCCCGGCCTCTGTGGCTTGATGGAAGGAAAGCTTGTAAAGGCACAGAGCCCTTATAACCTCATTTCTTCTGCTGATAGAAGAAGCCCCATCACAGCCTGTGGGTGTCAAGAGGCGGCAGGGCCCTCATTGCCTTGGTACTAAAATGCAGTCCAGAGCCTGGATGGTTTTGCTCTGTCTTTCCCTGCTATTGTTCAGAACTTCTCGGGCCTGATGGTCTAGCAGTTCTCATTCCTCCTGGCCAGAGTCCTGCACTGGGCTTTATTTTATTGTTTAAGCACTGCCTGTCAGAGATGGGCCTGGGGCTTGACCAGGAGCCCCTCACAGCTGCTCTTCCTTACGGCTCATGCACACATTCCTCAGTGGGGCGGGGAAGGCAGGCATGGGGTGTGGTCCTGAGAGAGTCAGCAGTCCCCTGCCCCCATTTCCCTTGGGACCCTAGCATGTGAGGAGAAGACACAGGTTTACTGCAGAGCTCACCTGCCTGCCCGGTGGGGAACCAGCAGCCTCTGTGGCTCTGAGAAGGAAAGGAGTGGCCTCTCGCCCAGTGTGTCCCCACACTGAAACAGCAGAGACGGCACCCCCCCACTGCTCAACTTTGGGTTGTGTTTGTGGTGGTTTGCCCTACTTTTATCTGTTGCTATTTTTGTGCTTTCTCTCCCCATCTCCACACTTTGTAAAACGGCTCCTGGGGGAGTGTCTGCTCAGTCCCTCTACCTGTCACTCCACTACTTTGTGGAAGAAAGTGGGAGTGGCAGAGATGTGGTGGTGGGGGTCTTTTATATGGTTGGATTAATAAAATGACTTGGAAATCCAGACAAGGACTCCTTGCCGTTTATGTGCACAAAGTTTGGAATGAGCCACTGTCACCTCTGGGAAGGATACTTGCGGGTGAGGCTATGTATACCCCCCAGGGACCTTGGAAGTGGGAATGGCAGCAAGATGCAGTCCTCTTGAGCTGAGCCAAGAGAGGCCTGTGTGCCCCACCCCTCCCCATGTGTCCCTGCTGTGAGAAACTGAGTTTCCTTTCTGAGCACATTCCTGCCCCAGGGCTGGAGCCAAGCCAGAGCTTTGGCTCCAAGGCCTCAGGGAGAAGAGTGCTCTTGGTGCTTCTGAGTTTAGCGCGTGCCCACCCCCCACTCCCTGGTTGTTTGTGTTAGGGGTCAAGTGTAGCTCCAAAGGTGGGGGAAGGAGCTGCCCCTGGTCTAGCTTTTGAAAATTTTGAAATGCTTTTCAGACCCCTCCCTCCCTTTTAAAAAAAGTACCAGTGGCATCCTTAAACACTCTGCACTGGAGCGGGGCACGGAGAGTGGCAGGAGGGCTATTTCCAACCCACAATTTGCCACTCTCCCCTTCCCCCCCAGCAGCTGTTTCTGTCTATCCTGGGTCAACCTGGCCCCTTGTCCCTGTCGTCTCTGGAGATGCCACCTTTTGCCTTTCAGTTTTGAGTCTTCCCTCTAGAAACGGTTTAGACACCGCGAAAGCAGGGAGGTCACTCAAAATTCAGTTTGCTGGAACTCCAGTCTTGCATGGGGAGGTAATCCCAGGTTCAAGGGCTGAGCAGGTCCCCCCTCTCCCCTCTCCTCCCCTCCCCTCCCCTGGCTCTCAATTCAGCTCTTATTGGCCAAAAGTTTCCGCCCCTTCAGGGAAGTTGACTTTCCATTGGCCAGTCCCTGGTCACATGACTCTCTCTCCTTTCTGGGGTTGGAAACCTCGGGAGGCAGCAACAAGTTCAGCCGAAGACTGAAGCAAGAGCTGGGTCAGGTAATGCCCCAGCGGGAAGAGGCCCTTAGATCCCCTGTGAGAGGGAGGATGACAGAGAGGAAGGGCGGAGTTCGAAGGTTGGGCGCTACTGGCGATTTGTCTGCTTGTCACGTCTGGGCCAGGGGAAGGGGGACCATGGGCCATCTTTTCTAAAACAGGAACTTGCTGTGGGTCCCCCAGGCAACTTCTGTGGCCCTAGGTCCTTTGCTTTAGAGGTTTGGGAGAATAACTCTTAGAAGGGTTGAAATTAGCTAGATGAAACTTCCCAGCTTCGTACAGAGCGGGAGAGCTCCTCCTTTAGCTGTCTTTTAGAAATAGCAGAAGTCTCTGACAATCCTTAAAGGATGTTTTTGTTGAATCCTGCCTGAATGAAAAGAGAGGAGGTAGTGGGGAGGGGGTGGAGGTGGGTTTTCTTCTAAGAGGTCGATGAGAAGAAAGAGATCTGAAAACACAGTGGGGAAGTGTGGAGATGAGACAGCAGGAGGAACTTCCTCATAAGGCAGTGAGATGCTGGCTTGGGAAAACAGGGGTATCTTTTGGAATCTTTGGTGAACCTAACCAAGGGAGAGGTCCAGGGGTTTGGAACCCTGAGTGCAGGGGTTCCAGACTGTCTCCTGTTTGGGTCTCAGAAGTGTTTGTCTTGTTGACCCAAATACCATTACTGGTTTCCATGGAGACACTGGGTCTGACATCACTCTGGTTGCCATGGTGCCTGGTTCTGGAGGACCTGAGCAGGCTGTACACAGCCAGGGATAAACAGGGACTTCAGCCCAAGCCGCTGCCACTTCCTTCCTGCCACCACCTGTTAACAGTCACACACAGCAACTGGGGATGCAGAGATGATGACAGAACAGCGGGGGAGGGGCCTGAGAGCAGAAGGCCGCATGCACAGTGATGGCTCTATGGATGCTTGTAGAAGCCAACCAGGGGTGTCCTGTTGGACTCGGTGTGGGGAAGTCATTGCAGCCCTTCTCCTGTCTCCTCGTGGGATGGGTGCTTGTGTCTGGCAGGCATGGGCATTGGGGAAGACACTGCCAAGTGTCCTTCATCTGGCCCAGGCTTGGGTCTTGATTGGCAAGGGCCACAGGAGGTTATTAGGGCACTGTGCAGGGCTTACACCAGCTCCAACAGAAGGGGGCAGCATGCTGATTTCCCAAGGCAGACCTGCCATACTTCTTCCCCAGCCTCAGCCTCACTTCCCATTCCCAGGGTTCGCTTACAGAGTTCTTTTCCACTTGTCACCCTTCGAGCCCCTCAGTAAGCAGTCATTCACTCTCCTCTGAAGGATCACAATCCAAGACTTGGGGGGTCGGCTCATCCATCCCTCCACCTTTATGCCAGGTCCCAGTTGCAGCTGCCCAGCCTGAAGGGACAGTCTTAGCCTCGGAGGAAGGGGTCACTCTCTTCTTACCCTGCCTTGCGTCAGGCTTTGGTAGCCGAAGTGACTTCCCATTCCCACCCTGCCAAGGCACAGCAGATTAGCAGGGGGCAGGACCACAGCCCTGATTTTTGTCCATGCTTTGCAAACTGTAAAGTGCTTTATACATGATAGTTGTCATAAATCTCTTTTCCCAGTCACCTTCAAGTTCCTTAAGATGAAACTTTGGAGATTACTAAGAAGGGAAGCAGACTTTAGAATGGAGAGTGAGTGACAAGGAGATTTACTAGAGGTACATTCAGATGGATCTAAGCTATGCCATTTGTTCTCAATCCTGGCTGCACATGAGAGTCATCTTAGAATCATCTAAGACCATCATCTGGTCTTATAAAAGACCCATCCCCGAGCCTGACCCTGAAACCAACTGAGTCAGAATCTTAGGTGATTCCAGTGTGCAGCCAGTGTTGAGAATCCTGGACTAGACCATACAAAGGACTTACGGTGGGTGGGCGGGAGACTTAGGGCTGAAGGAGGCCCTCGAGTCTTCTCTTCCAGGCCCTGGGGGAGGAGGTGGTGATTGTGGGGGAGCCTAGGGTGGCGAAGGGAGGGCTGGGTTTCCCTCACTCTTCTTACTAACTGTTCATCTTTGGCAGGTCAAGTCAGTCACCCTTTTTGGCCTTTGTCTTCCCTGACTACAACATAAGAGAGTTGGCCTGGATTTTCCCCAAAGCCTTTCCAGCCCTATGCTTCTTTTACCTTTCAAGGTCCATTCAGTTTCCCAAGGCCCTGGGAGAGACAAGCTTCACTGTGGCTGTTGGCACATTCTGATTTGCAAGGCAAATACTGCCCAGAAGAGTTGAGGGGTTAGGGTCAGAAGGACTGGAACCAGGCTGGTTCTGGAAGCTGCTGCCCAGCCCTTAAACCTTGGAACCCAGCCGGGGCTACTCTCTGCATCCTGCCTCTCCTGAAGGGAGCTGGGGCCCTTAAGAGAGCTTTTCTTTGCAGGTGGCAGCCACAGCAGCCTTGGGGACCTTAGCAACTATGGCCTCCTGCCCAGACTCGGACAATAGCTGGGTGCTTGCTGGCTCAGAGGTAGGAAAAGCAGGCCTGGGAACCACATGGAAGAGAGGTTCCTGCAGGGCTGGGCTGCTTTCTGGGTCCTAATGGTCACCTGCATCACCTTGGTCCTGATGTTCACCTACATTACCTCCTGCTGGCCGTAAGGGGAACTCTAGTGGTAGAGAGAAGGAGATCAGGCCCCAGGAGTCAGGTGTTGGGACTTAGACCATGCCTTGAAAGAAGGGTACCACTGGGGTAACCTGTGAGAAGTAGGGAAGAAATTCTGGTGGGGAGACCAGCATGAACAAAGGTCCTGAGGCAACAATGGGAACGCCATGTTGGGGGAGACTGTGAGGAGGTCCATTGGATGAAGTGGAGACATGGGTCAGACAGTGTTGGAGTGAGATTGGGAGCAGAGCCTGGGAACCTCTGGAAGAGGCCTGAAGGGCCTGGCTCAGGCATTCAGGCCTCATCCTGATGGGAAATCACTGAAGGGCTTTGAGGAGGAGGGATTCAAGACAATCATTGCTTTGGGCAGAGGGTGAAGCCACTGTGTGGGCTGGGTGGGAAGAGGAGGAGAGTGTTTTGAAGGTCCTGCAGTCCAGGTAGTAGTTAGTGGGGCAGGATCCCAGTGGACTCCTGTGCTCCTGAAGCCACTGAGAAGGGAGAGTGGGGCTGGCAGGGTGGGGGACTGAGTGGCTGGAGAGAGTCTGTTGAGGGATGCAAGCCCTAGTGGCTCGGCATGTTAGAAGCACCAGGAGGGGAGGAGGGGAGGAGCTTGAGGGAAACCGATGGAATTTGAGTGCCCTAGAGGAGCTCGGTTGGGAGTGAAGGAGCTGACCTCAGGGATGACGCTGGAGCGGGGACCATGGACTGGGGCTTGCCGGCAGAGGGGACGAACACCATGCTCTCAGCCAGAGCCCTGGCCTCCTGTTGGGGTGCCTTTGCTGACAGCTGGGGGACCTTGGACAAACCACTGCATATCTCTGACCTTCCCTGTAAAAAGGGAGTTGTGATTCTTGCCTTGTAGGGATGGCCATGAGAAAAAAGTGATTTGAAAATTGCAAAGAAACATACTAAGGTCAAGAATTATCCTTGGAGGGATAGTGGGAGCCATGGATGGGGTGAACAGGCAGTGGGCCTGCCCAGGGGGAGTATGCAGAGAGAGGAGAGGCCGAGGCTGCGGCCAGGCTGCGAGCACCATGGGGGACAGGCTCTCTGTGGCTGTGATGAGTCAGGCTTCTGCAAGCAGCTCCTGGGAGAGGGGTCTGTGGGGAATGGGGAAGGCCAGAAAAGCTTGGAAGATATAAGTGCAGTGGGCGGCCCGTTGTGAGGGGAACTGCAGGGAAGCCTGTGGGGAACATGACTGTGACCCTTGGGCACCCAGGGGACTTTGTTCTCTTGCCATCCTCCCACCTTCCAACCGATAACTGGGTTGTTCATTTGTGGGGAGGGAGGGAAGTGTGATGATCTTGGAGGGGAGGGAGACACAGGCTCTAGCTGGCTTCTCAGGGGAGGTGGGGAGGGCTCCAGGTTTGTACAGTGGTCCCGTCCTTGGTCCAGTGGTGTTGCTTTATTGAACAGAAACTTTGCCTCTGAAAGTTCCTTAGAGCAGCA